GTGCGGCCGCCATCTTTCTTTCCAGAGAGGAGAGGGTGAATGGGGCAACACCCTTTCCCCTCCGGGCAGACATGATGGCCTGGATTAACGCATAGTCCATTCACTTTTTCACTGGAGATTAACACTTAGAGTTACTCCCTTGTGCCATGTGCTGAGAAAGGATAAGATAATTAGTATTTTTAATTCTGGATCTCATAATTCCCTTAAAAATATTTTGCTAAACACAAGAAGTATTATTATACTTTAATTAGCAAAATATGTAACCAAAATTTCTTCTTCCCTTAATAAGAAACATACTCGGGTTAGGGAGTAAAAATGAGAACTCAAATATCAATTATTAAGAACTTTAGGCTCCATAAAACTCAGAATCCTAATTAGCTGAAATTGCTTATTTTAATTTAGTACATGCTTTTTACTATTAGGGAGGAAAACAAAATTTGGTAGATTCAAAAATATCAAAAAAGTAAAAATTACACAAAGTGAAATAACGTTCTTCTATATGTATTCTTCTAAATCTAGTGAAATCTACCTAATTACTGTGATCAGCAAAGAAATACTGAAATTTTTATTGTATTTCTAGAAACTTAGAAACAAACATGCTAATATAAGAATGTGCCCCCAAATAAACCTGGTCAAAGGTTTTTGTTTTAATTGGGGGTTGTTTCTTCCTATGTATTTTATTTTCCATGAAAGAGAAATAGTGTAGTAATTTGTGAAATAAATCCGTGAATGTCATATTTAAGTCAAGTAGTTTCCCAATATGCTTTAGTAAGAGTGCCAGATTGTCGGAACACATATCACATGTTCACCGCACATGCTATACTTTTATTTAATTCAAGCGGATTCTCCTCCATATAGCTCTCTGGTTTTTCTCTGCTCTCAGCTGAAGCTATTGCACTGTCTATGATTCATGTCCCTAGCTAGGATACAAGCCAATCCTTTTCACCTTCCTTCTATTTTTCTCTACTTCAGTGGTCTCAGGATGGTCTTTGACTCTTTAAGTCAACTAAACTTATTCAGCTGGGCCCATTTCCACAAAAGCAACATTTTATCTACTTTCCATTGGACTAGGTTTTCCTTAAACATCAGCATTTACAGAAATGTGAAAAGATCTATATTTGTTTTTACACATTTTACAAAATCATACTATTTAAAATGTACATTTGTCTTTTAAAGGACACTCTTTCATTCCAACTACACAGAACTTCAGCTGCATCATAACCTGTGACATAAGGGGCATGATTATTTCCCTTAAAAAATTCATTTCAAGTTTTATTCAACCACTTTCAGAAGCCAGTTTACTTAATGCCACGACTACCTCTAACAGAAACAAGCCTTTAACTTAAAGCAAATGCTACAAAGATATACAAAACTCATTCACCAAATCTGAAGAAACGGATTTCAAGAACATTTTCATTTTTCAAAATCAGAAATTGCCTAAAATAACTGCTATATTCTGAGTTTGTAGAGGGTGTGGCAGGGGAATAGGAGTCTTTGGGACCGAGGGCGGGGAATGGGCCCTCTGGTGATGGGTGTGGTGCTGGAGGAAGGAACACACAGGAACTACCATTCCTCAGTAAAAATGACTGGAGGAAGCAAACAAACCCTAATATATTCTAGCACAAAAGCAAAGAGAGTGTCTGTAGTGTTGTTTAAGGGAATGGATTGCTAATGGACATCAAATGTGGATAACGCATATGAAATAAAAATGTTGGTTAAAATCAAATGTGTTAAGAGTAGCATGCTGAGTGAAGAGTCAGAATGAGAGGGACATATATAGAATGATTGCATTCATTTTTGGTATATAAATATAGAAGACTAATAGTCATGGCCAAGGAAAACGGGGACTAGGAGGACTGGCTAACAGTTGGAATCAATCACAGGTGTGTGTGGGTAGAGGGCAGGTCAGATCGAGAAAGGACTAGTATGACAAGAATAGCTGGGAATGATCATGCTGGACAAGAGCTGAGTGTTGAAAGTAGGTAAAGGAAAATACCTGCCAATCTTTCAGTATCTGTATTGAAACCACAATGCCCAAAAGGGGGGAAGGAAAGAGAAGTAGGAAAGGAGGGGGGGAGAGAGAGAGAGAGAGAGAGAGGCTGCCATAGAGGCAAGCTGAAGGGGGTTGGGGGTGATGGGAGGGAACTTGGGGACACTGGTGCTGGGAACTGTGCTCTGCTGGAAGGATGGGTGTTGGAACACTGTATGACTGAAACCCAATCAGGAACAGCTTTGTAAGGGTCCATCTAACAGCAATTCGATAAAATAATCTCAAAGAGTAATAATAAAATAAAAACTAAAATTTTAAAAAATGTTTTAAGGATTGTTTCAAAATTCATGGAGACATATTTTAAAAGCAGATTTTTAACCACAAAGTAAGAGAATAAACTTCAATGGGAAATTGAGAACATAATGATAAAAAAAATAAACTTACAATATATTGATGTTTGTACAAAATTATTTAATGTTCATTTATTAAATCCTTAAACAAAAGTAAATTTGTAAGACTACCTCTTTATCAATACTGTATATATTACTGATTTTCTGGATTTTCTGGTTTATAATTTTACCCTCTTCTAAAAAATATTCTAGAACCAAACTATATTATGAAAGGTGTTTTTTTGTTTAAACAGAATCACATAGGTAATAACACAGTAAACATGAAACAATGATTTTACATTATTACCTGAGCCACAAGCACATTTAAAATGGATAGGTATATATATGAAGACAAATATCTGTGCAATAATAATTGAGTAAGTGGATAACTCTTGAGTACATTTAAATATAGCCAGAATTCAACCTTTTTCCTTGTCTATCTTGATCATATCAGTATTAACATGACGAACAAGACTGTTTCTTCCACAAATATAGGCTGTCTGCCCATACTTCACTGGGTAGGCAAGGATCATTCCCAATCCCAGTCATTATTACAGAGTTATTAGTATGTTCAGAACACAGTCATGCAAAGTGTTCTGGAACTATTTGCTATGACTTACTTTGAAATGACACCTTCCTTGAGTTTCTTTTTTCTAATTAATCTACTAGGTAGAATGAAAATTGCATTACAAAAAATTGCATTACAAAGATTGAATATGAAAGTACTCTCTTTCACTACCTTTCCACCAGTATTATTATGAGGAGAAAAAGAAAACCTATTGCTTGAAATGATTATATCCAAGAAGCCTAGAAGAGTCTTTTTTCAGACTGACAACTCTGAGGGAACGATTTAAAGGGTTAAGTGTATGTTCAATTGTCTTTACCCCTGAGTGATGGTTAGCCATATCAACCAGACAGTTATGATGTATAGATTCTGGCATGTGGGTACTTCTAGAGAGAAGGAAAAAAAATAAAAGAAAATTTAATATAAAAAATTTGAATGGCAGAAAATATATCTTCTGTGATGAAAGCTTTATCTATGGTCACACGCAGATTAAGGTACTTTCTATTCCCTCCAGGATAGGAATTCTATAAAAATAATGTTTCCGCAAATGATGCCCTTGCTGCATGAAAAGAAACAGGCTTTTCTCAGTAATTGAACGTGATTAAAACTAGCCTTTGTGCTATTTCTGCTTTATAGCTAGGTTGCTCTAGATTTCAGCGCTTTCAATTTTTGTACTGTCTAATGAAAATTGGCCCGTAATTCCCCTTACTCTAACAAATGTCCCATCTGAAACTGACAGAGATGGAAGAGAGAGAGTCGACCTAGTCTGTTCATTTGTGAGTTCTGCCCTTGGTAATTGGGTGAAGGGCAATGGCGAAGAATTACAGAAGTGAATCTTTCTAACAACAATGATGACAAAACACAAAAAGATTTTAATTCACAGAGTTATTCTGGATATTTAATAGGAAAACGCATTTGACATTGAGCTCCATTCCCTGCCCAGCTCCAAATACAATGAACAGATTTCTATAGCACAGAAACAGATGATAATGAACTTATTTTTTCCTTTTCTATTGCCAGTTTCATGATGGCATTCTTATGGAAATTCCCAGAGTTGTGCTGCATTTGGAACAGTTTAAAAACAGAGCAAAGACAATGTTTGAAAGTGAGACACCGAAAGCACTGTCATAAAAATATGTCATGTTATACCATATTAATATCATGTCATATTATATCATACGTCACACCACTAATGTGTCATACTAATATCAGCGTCCGCAGAGGCTTACCTTTCTAAAAGCTTCATTATATAGAGAAAAAAGGAGCAAAACTCTAAAATGCGCAAATTCCTGCCGACATCCTAGTTTGAAAGAATGACTTAAAGAGGGGCAGCTAAGCAATGTGTGCGAATCTGGCTCCCTGGGAAGATTGGAAGGAAGCAAGACCAGGGCTCTTCTCATGGATTAGCAAAATATATCTAAAGGATGCATGGTGTGCTAAATGCTGTCTTTACAAACACCTCAGGTAAAATTTTTAAAAATACTATGTAGCTTAATTTGTTTCATAACTGCCCAACCAGTTCTATACAGAAAATAAAACATGAATAAAATAAAAGTTATCCTATAAAATTAAGCTAATTTAAAAAAGATTTCAATTTTATCATAATATGAAGATATGAAAACCTCAAAAAGATGTTATAAAAAGGTCACTGATAACTCTGTGATCCTGTTTTTTTTTCTTTTTGTTTAAAGGAAAGACTTTAAAATATATGGTTAAAAATCTATGTACCATCTCCTTACTAATTTACACATAACACTTGAGATCCATTGTATGTAGAAAACAATTTAAGTCTGTTTCTTTTACCATTGCCACTTAAAAAAAAACCCTGGTTTTATAGACATTCTACCTACAGAATAATAAAATATACCTAACTTGGTTACATGGAGCAACTCTTTTACTGTACATTAGTATGCTGGTGATATATACATCATAACTCATATTTTGCACCAAGAGAAATTAATTGGCGAGTTACAAAAACAGCACACTGTGCTTCTTTGGACCAGTATGTATAGTCACATTCATTTAGACTATCCTATCTTCTTGAAATTACAGAATCTCACTTATTTTTGTGTAGGAAGTTCTCAAACTTCTGCACAAATCCACGAAATTTACCTGCACTTGGCTGGTATGAGTGATAAACACCAGTGTTGTAATTTAGCAGCGGACTGGATCTCCCATAGCTGTTGCCCATAGTTGTGGATTTCATGTCTGGGCGGTGCATACCACTGTTTGCCATACTGCCTGTTGGTTGAAGTGAGCTCTCAATCTTACAAAATGGCTCAAAGCGACTATAAACACGCCGGTCAATGGAATGAGTCCTGAGGATCTCGTTAGGCTTCGTTCTGGGAGCAGTTGGTTTTCTGTGAGGAGCCACGGCTGTACTGGTCTCCTTCGAATCCTGGTATTGAATCTGTTCCGTGTTGAATCTTGGGGCACTGGCATCTCCTGCCCTTTCCAAGAACTTGTGTTCAACGGGGCCTGGAGGGGGTATGATTTTACTGCACTCCTCCGATGGAGAGCTCATCCCTGGAGAGGCATTTACCACGACATCCTCCTTACTCCTGTGGACGCTGCCTTGGGAGTTCGATGAGGAAGTACGCTTTCTTCTTGGAGATGAATCGACTTTGGGTTCGGACTTTTTCAGTTTCTGATTATCTTCGGCCTCAGAAACTAAAGTGTCAGAACTACTGCACATTTTGTAAAAAGCAGATCCTTTACTTTTTGACAGATTGTCTTTCTTATCTGGAGAAAGACTGAGAAATGATCTTAACTTCTGAGATCCCTTTTTCAAGAAACTTGGAGAACCCTTTCCTTCTTTCTTGGGTGTAACGTCTTTGGGTTCCTCTTTATTCACGTCAAGCAGAGCAGCCATGGAGATGGACTTGACGGCAGCGACGCTTGGGGGCTCCCTCCCAATGGCCAGCTCCTCCTCCCCCGTGTCCTGGGCCACGTTGTGCATACTCTTAGAGCCCTTCAGAACATCCTCCTTGGGTTTTTCCGGCTGTCGAATCCGATTCCGGGTAAGGGTACTATACACATGATGCTTATTATTTCCGTGATCAAAACTGCCTTTTGCATGTTCAAAGAATGGGAAACTTCTCCTCTTGAGCAGATTCTCATTGTGCTGAACGCTTGGGTTTCCTGACTCTTTATTCCCACACAAGGTAGTGTATATGTAGTGGTTTGCCTCTGTCTGGCCATTTGTAGTTTGGTTTGAGACTGTCGAGTGGTTTTCAGGAACCTGCAGAGTGTGAGATTTGGGTGCCTCTGACTGCACCGGAGGCTTGGGGACTGATTCTTGCACGGGTTTGTCTGTCAAAGGTACAGCTGTCATGGTATCTGGGACCTCTTTCCGTGTGTCACTTCCCTGGGAACCAATGAAGGTTGAACTTGAGGATCCAGTTGTACAACTGTTAACTTCCTGCTGCTCAGGTAAAGTTGGTTTAAACATAAAAGAGGAACGCAGCCGGGAATGGTTATAAAGGGCGCTAGCTTTCAGGTTCTCAGGACAATCATAGCCCTCCAGCCGGTCTCCCAGAGCAGAGCCATTGGACTCAGCTGGTAACTCTGACTGATCATTTAAGTAGGATTCAATTCTCCAGTTACGCAGGAACGATTTAGTGGTATGTTCAAGGGTTGGCATTCGCTGTTGCAGAAGACGGACATGGTTATCTGTCCCGTGAAAAGACCTCCGCATGTTTGAATTCCTTTCTCCAAGATTTGGTGTTTTCCTCTGTGCAAGCCGATCGGCAAAGCTCTGGGAAGGAATGTTCTGCTGGTTGATGCAGCCTCCCCTGGAGGAGGACGCCACGCTGAGGCTCTCGGTGGACCTTCTCCAGTTATTGGCAGGATTCATGTTTCGATTCATCGCTCTGTTCAGCATCAGGTAAGGAGCCGTTTCTGACAGTTCCCCGGCATAGCTGTGCCTCTTCCAGTTTTCACTAAGCTGACTGGGTTGATACTGACGGACAGCATTTGGACCATTCAAGTTTGGAACAAAATGTGGTTTATAGCCATGGTTTCTTATGCCATATTTGTCGTGTTCATTTCGGGTAAACATGCCTCTGTTTTGGAAGTAGCTACCATCAAGTTTGTGAATGGGATCTTGTCTACTGAAATGGTTTCTTTGGCTGGACACAGAAGCAAGTGAAGAAACTGATCGCTGGTAATTGCCATTCTCCCAGACCGCTTTGCCACGCTTCACCCTCACTGATTCTTCTTGAACGAATGAGCTGGGAATGCAGGACCTGGCGTAGAGAGTTCTAAACTCTTCGTCAAAGGATTCGACAAGTTTTCCTGAGATTATCTGAACCATGCTCAGGTGGACTTTTTCAAATGACCACATATAGCTGAAAAAAATAAAAAGTAAAAAAATTCAGTTTGGGAAAGTTAAAACATTAATAATAGTTCTACTAAGAAAACATCTCTTTGCATACAACAAGAGTATTTTGATTTAGTTTCCTTTGCTACCATAATTTACATCACCTTAAGTCATTATGTAATGTCCTTGTGATGCATGTGCCTCCACTCCCATCCATTTTTTGTAGATGGGAGTAGAGAGAAACATCTACTGAAGGAATTCAAGTTCTGATTTAAATCTACCCATACTTGCTTATATTGTTCCAGACAGGGATGGAGTGATAGCACAGCAGGTAGGGTGTTTGCCTTGCATGCAGCCAACCCAGGTTCAATTCCTCCCTCCTTCTTGGAGAGCCCAGCAAGCTACTGAGAGTATCCTGGCCACACGCCAGAGGCTGGCAAGCTCCCCGTGGCGTATTTGATATGCCAAAAACAGTAACAACAAGTCTCACAATGGAGACTTACTGGTGCCCTCTCTAGCAAATTGATGAACAATGGGAGGACAGTACTACAGTGCTACTTTATCCAGGAAGTTTTTAGCAAAGTCAGCAGCTGAGAAAGTTGCGAGACCTAGTTTCTTATTAGTTAAGCAGCAACATAAGTTTGGGTTTTCATTTGTCATATCCAAAATGAGAACATGAACAGAACAGCTGAAAGAATTCCTGTAGATCTGACATGCTCTAATGTAAGACAGGCCAGTATTATAGTGCAGGTGTTGCACTGGGGTTGGCTGTATGCAAGTCTTATCTCCTGTATAATCTCTCCTTCCCCCTTTCTCAATATTTGAGGTACAATTTATACTGGAATTTCTTAATAATTTCACAAATAAAAAATATGGTATTTAAAAGCATAAAAATTTAGACAAAATAGTCACTAAGCTGTAAATAAATTGCCAATATAATATGTATTCAATAAAGTAAATGATACATGAGGTTAATACAGAATGAAAAATGAAATTCAGAGATGCAGGAGCATTTTCTATGAAGACAGTAGCAAAGGCAAATGAAAATAGTAAAAAAATAGTAAACAGTAACACTTAATATTTATAAATTATGTAAACATCAATATGTAACAAACAAGATTATTGATACTATGATTGGATAAATTTTTAAAGTTTGTACTGCTTGTTATGAATAATATGCTAAAAATTATTCAAAAATGGTTTCTTAGAGAAAAGGGTGTGAAGATTCTTGTATTTCACCCAGGAGCCATTAAGCCTTCTAGAGGAGATTACTAACATGTTGTTAAAGGTTGAAACGTGTGTGTGTGTGTGTGTGTGTGTGTGTGTGTGGTGTGTATATATATGTATACAAGATTGTCAGTGATTTTAATGCCAAGAGGGAACCAAGAAGATCAGCCAAAGAAATCTAGATCGGGACTGATGGCCTAGAATGGAACGAACAGGGTGAGAGACTGTCTGAGTTCATCATGTCGACCAAGGCCATCCATGGTAAGTCACAGTTCAAGAAGGCTGAATCTAAATGTTGGACATGGGAGTCTCCTGGTGGATGGTGAAATTGACCACAACATATTCAATCGACAGTTTTGTCTGGCCGATGTGGCTGTTGTACCAAATTTCCAAATCGGAATGGTATACCATAGCCTTTGTGCAAAATTCTACTTCACGGAGAGGGAAGAAAGGGCTGCAAAGTTTAAGAAGAGAACTCCCAGAATGACCACCAACTGGGAGCTCTTTGGCACTATTGTGTAACATGGGAAGATGCCGTTGTTGACAATGTTGATGAGGAATATGATCAACTGGTTCAGCATCTCCATGATTGTGTGAGGAACGCCAAAAGAGAAATAGCCACAAAAAGACACCTATGTTCGAAAACTCTTGAGCTCATTCGCCAACGTGGCCTGGTGAAATCCTCAGGCAACCGCAAGTGAACATCTGAGCTCAAAAAGCAGTGCAGAGAGGTGATAAAGGAAGACTTCAAAGAGAGAAGAGCAGCAGTGATGGTAGATGCGGCAGAAGCCAGGAAAAGCATTTGCAACGCCCGCCTGTCCTTCGCCAACTACAAGACCAAGATGAATGCCCTCCAACATCCTGATGGATCTGTCACATCTTCCAGAAGGGCACTGGAGAAGATTATCCGTTACTTCTACTTGAATCTCTTCAATAGCCATGTCCACTTGCCCGCATACCAAATTCCGCAGAATGGATATGTCATTCCCAACATCCTCCCTTCCAAAATCTGACATGCCATTTTGTCAGTAAAGAAGCGAACAGCACCTGGCCCAGACAAGGTCAGACCCGAATACCTGAAGAACCTGCTGCCCTTTCTCATCAATATACTGGCTCGGCTCTTCACACACTATCTGTCTGAATGCAAGGTTTTGTCCCAATGGAAAACCAGCAGGACTGTACTACTGTACAAGAAGGGAGACATCCACGACATTGGCAACTATCACCTGATCTGCCTGTTGTCTGTCGTCTACAAGCTGTCCACTCAAGTCATCCTGAATAGGATTGGCAGAACACTAGATGAAGGACAACCATGCAAGCAAGCTGGGTTCTGCAAAGGATCCAGCACAATCGACCATATCTACATGATAATCAAGCTCATTGAGGTTTCTCTGGAGTTCAAGATGCCGCTCTGTTTAACGTTCATTGATTTAAAGAAGGCCTTTGATTCTGTTGAGACGGAAGCGGTCATTGAAGCCCTAGCCAATCAGGGCATTCAAACTCAGTACGTCAGAATCCTCTGTGAGCTGTATTGCGGATTCACTACCAGGATCTCACCATTCTATAAGGAGGTGATCATCGATTTTAAGAGAGGGGTTCGGCAGGGTGATACCATTTCACCAATACTCTTCAATGCCACCCTCAAGAACGTTATGCGATGACTGGAATGGGAAGGAATGGGAGTGAAGATAGATGGTTGGCAACTATACCACCTCTGCTTCGCTGATGACATTCTAATAACACCAAACATCAGCGAAGCGGCAAAATACTGGTCCAACTTTGACTGTGAGTGCAGAAAGGTCAGAGTACAGCTAAATCTTATGAAGAGAATTATTTTGAGAAAGTCTTGTTCCTGACATTCCATTTGCTCTCAATTGAATGAACACATTCAAATGCAACAGTTATGTGTACCCTGGTTGAGAAGTCAATATGACCAATGAGCTGGAACCTGAGTTGCACAGGAGGAAGAGAGTGGCTTGGAATGCCTCCAAGGGCACTGAAGAAAGTTAAGAGGACTTTAAGAAAGTTAAGAACCTCCGGTTCCAGGCATACCTCTTTGATACCACTGTTCTTCCTGCATTAACATACGCTTCATAGACCTGCGCAATATGAAAACAGGATGAAACGCTTTTTGGGTCTCCTAAAGAGGAACTGAAAGAGCTATGCTTGGAGTATCATGCTTCACTCAAATGAGAGAAAGAATCTGGAGTTCCAACCTCTGTCGACCCAAGAATCAGGGACACTATCTCGTTTGCTAAGGCGTCGAAAATCAGATGGGCTGGACACAAAATGAGATTTGGAGAAGGCTGCTGGACTAGAGCCATTATTGACTGGATTCCATAGGTCATCAAAAGACTCATGGCTGTCCACCTATGAGATGGTCAGACTATTTTGTCAAGACCCTGAATGATCGGTTTGAGGCTCTTCGTATTCCTAGAACGAGCAGACGCCATTGGGCTACAGTAGCCCATGTAAATGGTGCTTGCTCGAGCAAATCGATGAGTCATGAGATGTCAAGTGATCAAGTGATCAAGTATGTATATATCTTTATAAATATATTTCCCCTGTGATTGGCTGCCTTATACTTTAAACCCCACCAAATGTGGTATGCTTCTCTTGGTATATTTTAATAGGTGTAATTTTAACTATGTTTACTGAATGCATGGTGTGAGAAGGATATTTAAGTGGTGTTCTTTATAATACACATTTGTGGAAGACTGGGGTGATGGGGTGAGTTAAAGAAATGTGACAAAATTAAGTCATTAATAAGTTTCAATTCAACTGAAGATATTACAATAAAATAGATTATAGACACAAAGTAAAGGAATAGTCAGCTGTCAAATATAAGAAAAAGCACTAGAAAAAATAGAAGTTTACCAAGGTTTTGACCACACCTACTCAGAAGTTCACACATAAAAGGCGAAGAAGCACATCTTGTGTGAAAGAAGAAACACAGACAATAAAGGAAAGAGTAAGGGCCACGGTTTAGTTAAACAAAGTATATTTAGTTGAAGTAGAGAAACTACCACATGAGCTAGTGGCGAAACCTTAAAATCAAAGCACAGAATTTTATTAGGTAAGACTTGTTTCAAAATTTGGATACATTATAATAAAAATACTTTTGCCTTTTTTCCTATTAGCTATTTGTAATGTAGACATGAAAAAATAAAGGGCGGGGCTGGAGCAATAGCACAGCGGGTAGGACGTCTGCCTTGCACGCGGTCGACCCGGGTTCGATTCCCAGCATCCCATATGGTCCCCTGAGCACCGCCAGGGATAATTCCTGAGTGCAGAGCCAGGAGTAACCCCTGTGCATCGCTGGGTGTGACACAAAAAGCAAAAAAAAAAAAAAAAAAAATAAAGGGTTAAGCTTACTATGGATACAGTAGTTAGAATAATGTAAAAGTGGCCAAAACCAGCATAGAAACTAAATTATTTAGTGAAAATGCTGAGCCAGTAACAAGACAAAATAAAAGTTATGTATGTCATAAAATTATACACAAAGGTATGAAATAAAAATAACTGCCAAATTATTCTATCATATGATGAATTGAACACATTTACTTTTTATGACGTAGGATGCTGAGAAGAAAATGATATTAGTCAAACAGATGGCAACTGGAAGAGGTTCTTTGCTTTGGTAAACCAGAAATAATGTAATATAATTTCAGGTAGCAGAAAGACTTTCAATTTAATATATTCGATTAAAAGATTCATCTTTGAAGATGCTGAGGGGCTCCAGAATAAAAAGCTGTTTATTCTATCATTTAGAAATGTGATGGAAAATTGTAAGAACCTCAT